TTCTAATCCTCCTGGTCCTATCCTGGAATGTACCGATGTCGTTGAGGCTGGTCTTTGACAATAGGTGTGCTGCAGAAGGCAGGACCTAGAGGCGAAGCTGCAGAGATGCTGTGGAGCCCAGAAGACCCAAAATGAATTCCAAATGTCTGACACGGAGCTCCATAGAGTGCTGGACTGTGGTTTTGCTTTAATTTGAATTTAACTGTGCCATGGTTCTTCCATCTTTTAACTGCGCCATGGTTCTTCCATCATGGAATAAAAAAGTATTACCTTTTTTTTTTTTAAAAAAAATAGGAACCCACAGTTAAAATGCATTAGATATTTTAGAGAGGCTTTGAACTTTGAAAAAGACTTTGGATGTTTTAAAGAGACTGAACTGTTGAAGTGTTTGAATTTTTAAAGACTCCAGGACTTTTACAAGTTGGAATATTTTATATTGAGATATTTATATTAATATGAGATATAGAGGATAAAAAATGAAGGAAGGGTTATGGCCTAATAGTAATGTGTTGGTGTATCAAGTTGAAAAGGGATCAATTGTTCTGGTTGGTTTTTGTCAACTTGATACAAATTTAGGCATATCAAGAAAAAGGCAATCTCAATTAAGAAATGTCTCCATCAGATTTTCTGTAAGTCCTTAGAGCATTTTCTTAACTAATGATTATGTCAGAGTCCACTGTAGGTTGTACCCATTATGGGCAGGAAGTCCTGAGTTGTATGAGCAAGCATTCTAAGCAAGGCCTTGTGGGAAGCCCGTCAGCAGCATTCTTCCATAGCTCTGCTTCAGTTTCTGCAGCAGATTTCTGTCTTGAGTTTCTGTCCTGACTTCTCTGTGAAGGAGTGTGACCCGAGAGTTGTAAGAACTCCCCCACTTTTCTACCCAACTGGCTTTTGGTTATAGTATTCCATCATAGCAATAGAAACCAAGACACTTACACTAGGCATCAGGATTAATTTCATTTGGCCCCTTACAGTTCTGCTAGGTCAAGATTATAGACACAGCTTAGCAGGGCTCTCTACTCATGACCACGGGATTCTGTAATTAAGGGATTGCCTGAGTGCCTGAGTTCCCTTTCCATCTTGAAGTCCTTCTGAGGAAGAATCTACTCCCAAACTAAATCAAGTTCTTGGCATAATCATTCCCTAGACATTGGACTAAAGGCTGTGACTTCCTCATTTTGGTCGGATGGGCTCACCTTAACTACTAAAGATCTACATGATAGTCCATATGAGCCTTCCAAAACCAAATTCCTACTTTATCAAGCCAACAGTAGAAATGTAGTAGAAAAGTCTCTAGAAATTCATTAACCCTGGGAAATAAATGAGAAACTATTTTTACTAGTACCAGATGTATGATAACATAATCCTTCCGCTCAAGAACTCTTGTGGATGATTTCATGTAAAAAGTTAAGCACCCCTTATAATAAATAAAAATGGTCTGGAATTAGAAGGATACGATTACACAACTTCATGAATATAATATAGTAAATATGGAAAAATTGAATGGTATAAGTTAAAAGAATGGATTTTCTGCTATGTAAATTATTTCAACAATAAAAAAATCAATAAGTACCCAGGAAAATAAAAATTTCAGATGTATATTATCATAAGTAATATATTTTTCATGAATCTGTTCTTAAAAAGCTAGAAAAGAGTGTGCCTTGGGGAAAAAAGTATCTGCCAAAAGGAGACCACAAAGTCTGTGAAACTATGAAGACAGAAAACATGCCCCAGGATGAGAGCTGTACAGCAAACTGCGCTACAAGAGTGAAGTTTCCAGAGCTTCCAAAAGTCCTCAAATGAGCCATCTGGATGCCCAGTGACAGGGGCGTTCCCTTAAGCAGGAGCTCATTTGTGTTTCTCATTTCCAGGTCTCCCAGGGCTTAGGGAACCCTGTTGTAAAGGATTTTTTTTTTTTTTTTTAGAAACCTGCTTGGAAAAGGAAACGCAGGAACTTTACTTTCTTCATTGACCTTGATCACTTAAAGATTTAAAAAAAAACTTTATTCATATATTAATGTGATAAATTATTTTTTAATGCTTCTTCTTTTAACTTTATAAAATGAAGCATATGTAGTTTTTAAAGAGATCAAGGAAGATTCTGCCCATGATTTTCAGTAAAAAACAAACAAACAAACAAAACCAGTTGCTTAAATGTTATCAGTAGAAACAGTCACATAACAAGGTGGGATGAAGGAGTCAGTAAGTGAGCTTCAAGTGCACATTATAGAAGAAAACAAAAAGATAACACATACAGGGGATGAATGAAATCTAACATTTGAAACAAGTATCTTAAGTCTGTGAAAGAAATCCAAATACCATTATATAACAAGTTGGCTTTGCAAAAAATTTAGTATATCTACCAACACTAAACCATGTGTTGAAAATGACCAAAAGGTAACATTTATGCTATGATATGACAGTTTGGGTTGGAAATAAGTAATACTGTATTATTTTGTCTTAATAAGAATATGTCTGCTCTACTTAAGTTTATTAGAAATGTGCATATGGTATTTTGATAAACAAAAAATAACTAAGGTTTATGTCAGATAAAATTCAATTATCCCTTATGTAAGGAAAACAATTCATCATGAAATAACCATTCCTTGTACTGTCATTGTGTCTACTGGAATGTGTGTATTCTGCATATACTTCCTTATACTTTGGTGATACTGATCAAGTGTTTAATGTAAGTTTTTGTGCAACCAAGAGAAGAGGTAAGCATTATCTATGATTCTACTACAGACCTGCACAGTGAGGTATAATATAGATGTAAAATACAGGTATATATGTGAATGTGTGATATGGATGCTAAATATGAATCCAATGTACAGCAGTTACTAGTCCTTACTTTCAGTCTGGACCTTTGACAAATGTGTTAGATAGCAGGAAAGTTCAAGTGACATCTTACCACATATGATGCACATTTATTCTTGTGCAGTACTCAGGTCATTCAGAAAACATGTGTGCAGTTGTACAAATGTGTACTGTTAAACAGAACGTAGGTAAGGCTCTGAAAAAATCCACCTGCTGCTAACAAAAACATGGCTGCCGCTTATGAGTAATTTTGAGCAGAGGGTGACACAGGGGAAACTCAAGTTTCAGGAAGACTGAGAGTGAGAAACAGGGAGGGTGTGGAAAATCTGGAGGAGACAGCACATATTACGATCTACAGCAGGAGCCTAGACATACATCACCACGGGGCGGGGTGGGGGAGCTGTGGCAGATGATTGTGTGGAACAGTGTTGGGGGTTAACTGGTAGAAATGTCTTCTGGTGTGGAAGGACTGGTTGTTCTGCTGAAACAGGCACATGTGTTGTAAAAGCTACACTCGAAGACTACTTCTTTCTGAGGCCAGAAAATCTTACGCATCTGCAATTTCCTCCGAAGTGGAACTCTGTGGAATTGGCAGAATTGTCCACGCGGGAGTTGCTCTGATGAGACCAGCCAAAATCTGGTTCTTTGATGAATGCTTTTTCAGGGGTAGAGGGTGGGAGGAGCAAATGAAGGGATCAGCATTGAGCTCCCACTCCCAACTATGACCCAGAGGCTTCTCATTAGATACCTGGAAATGTAGCTCCCCCAATAAATCACCCCTTAAGTCTTCAGGGCGGAACAAACATCTTCTCACTACTGTGGCGAAAGATACTTGCTCCCTGCCCAGCTCCAAGGCATGGCGGATCACAGACTCCCGTCATCAGTACACTAGGCTGACATATTTCTGGGAGGCCAAATTGTCTTTTCTACTGCCCTTCATCATCCTGCACAGAGTTCCTTGTGGCTCTCAGCCTGACTGCTTTTGAACAACAGCAGGCGAGTTCTCTGGAAGATTTTGTAACTATACACTGCAGCTATGGAGATTGCTCTTTGGGGGAGATCCAGCTTGCTGAATCACTCATTTCCTGTTCTAGGTCTCAGAAACTTCTATTTGATGTTTCCTTTTCCAAAAGGCTATAATTTTGTAAGAAGCAACATTTTACATAACACAGTTATGGGCCAAGTAATTAACACCAAATAATTCTGATGATGTCTGAGGATTATAAATATTTCCATTGGAAAAGTTCGGGTGTTGAGAATCATTCTGTGACAATCCCCACATGTCACCAGGATGCTGGATGGTGCAGGCAGGATCTTCATTTGTTTACACTATGAAGTAGAAGAAATTGCTCAGCTTGTCAGTAATAAGTCAGGAGAAGCTACTATTTGTAAAAATGTCAAAAGAATTTGCAAATACAACCCAGGACTCAGCCGTGTGAGTGGTTCCAAATCTTCGGTGTGAGCTCATTTCTCTTTGGTGCTGAAGGGAAAATGACTCTCTTTTCTACTCATTTAGCTGACTCCCTGCATTTCCTGGGAATCTTGGGAACTTTCAGTTTCTCATTCCCTCTCTTGACATTGTCCCTGTGTGCAGATCAGCCCCTTGAGTTCCCACCTCTTGTATCTGCTGCCTCTCTCAATTGCATCAAACCAAGGAGCTCCTCAGAAGTTTGTGAAGGTATCGTTCACAAAAGGTGACGCTTAGAAAGATCAGACGTAAGGGATACATGACTGAGAGCTGCCTAGAACTACACTCCTGGAAGTATTCCTTTCCCTCGGGAAATGATCCCGGGTTGACCTATGACTCCTCTCTTCTTCCCTATCATCGGATCAATTTTCTACTCATACAGAGACCCTCTGTGTCTGTTTCCCTCTTTGGTTATCTTGCCAAATTTAAAATTTCCTTGTTTCGTTGGGAGGTTATTTTAATTTTGCTTGTTTTCTGTCCTGTTCTTCCTCACTCTATAAAATGCTTCGGTTTATTTACCACTAAAAATCCAGTCGCTATTTGCTGCTGAGATTCAGCTTTGTTTCCCAAGCACTACTTACTACATTAGATTTTAAATAATTAGACAAAAAAACTGTCAGGTGGTTACACATTCCACATACTTGTTTTCATGAGAATTCAAAAACAGATCACAGACAAAGTCAGTGTAAAAGCACGGCAGTATCACATTTATTCTAAAATTTGCATTCCAAGTTTACACCAAAATCTGCCTCTTTGCTGAAGTCTTCACATGTGGACATCATATGTTTTCTAGGCAAAAAAAAAGAGAAGAGTTTTCACTAAGAACTCAGTGATCCCTCTTCTTCATGAAAGACAGGAAATGGTGACAGGATAACCCATTCTATGGGTATGAGGAAGGCACATACAGTGTAAGACCATTTTAAAAATACGTGCAACTAGCCGGGCAGTGGTAGCGCACACCTTTAATCCCAGCACTTGGGAGGCAGAGGCAGGCGGATCTCTGTGAGTTCGAGGCCAGCCTGGTCTACAAGAGCTCGTTCCAGGATGGGCTCCAAAGCTACAGAGAAATCCTTTCTCAAAAAAGAAAAAAAATACATGCGATTATATACACTATGACAAAAGGTGACTCGAAACACTGCATCAGTGCCGATCTGTGGTAGAGTTTTACCCATTTGCAATGAAGTGAGAAAAGCAACGAAGGGTTGTTTTTTAAAATTCAACAGTGTGAAGCTCCCCAGCCCTGTGGTGGGCACGGCTGTGAGCTCAAGAGAAGCTCTTCATTCCACATCTTCACTATCGGAATCTCCTGCTGTAAGTTAAATGCTAATAGTCTTAGAAAGTTGTTTTTAAATGTTGTACTGAAGCACACTAAGTCATCAGTTAAAAGAATTATTCACTAGTTCTGGGAACAAGTTGTCCAGAAACACATCTAAGAGATTAAGAAGAGAAACAAAATAAGAAAGCAAAACATAAGCCTTTCAATTGCTTTCAACTTGTAGACAAATCACAGAAAGTTTTTCAAAACTCAGGAACCAGAGAGCGGATGAAGAGGATGATAGAAGAGATTTGTCTCTCCTTCAAAGAGGAGTGAGAGAGATGCCCAGCACCATTCCCGGGCCTGGACTCAACCCTCTGAGTCTGTGTGCACTACTGAGATTTCCATATTCTCCCGAGGAAACTCCAGAAGACATTGTAAAGCATTAAATACACAGAGAAAAGATGTATAATAGAAACACGAGGTTCCAACCATTTATTTGAATAAATAAGACAGCTGTGCTAACTGCAGAATCAGAGAGAGCCAGGAAGATTATCTGAGCTCATTCTGATCTAGCTGAGAACTCTCTCACAGACTTCACTCCAAAAATCAGGGCATGTTGATATGTGTTTTCATGGCAAATTGGCTCCTAAGAAATTCTCTTTCTCTGAATTTATCTGACCTTTCTGAGGACAAACGTTTTATTGCATGCAAGTCTAAAATTCATATGAGATTGAAAACTGTGGAAATGCTTTCTTGTGTTCTGGTTTTTTATTTCTCAAGATAAGCCAAGGTAACATAAACTTTAAGTCTGGAAGAATCTAGGGAGTTTTCTCAGAAATGGACAGCTGTCACACTTAGTTGCTTGCTACAGCAGCATACAGAGATTACTAAAGGGGGAATATTTACCTTCAGGATTCCTTCCAGCAAAGGACACTGTTTCTCTCACTTAGCAAGCTCTTACCTTCCAGGACATAGATTTATCAAACTAAGAATATGTTTGATTCTTCTTTCTTTTACAATGAAGACGACACAAATGTTTATGTTCTTAAATTTCCCTGCTTTGGACTCTGTGTTACGGCTGTAGAAAACAATAGCGATAGTGCCGCCTCCAAATTCTGTCTCTGTGTCGATTGCTGATTGAGAACTCTTAGTTCTCCCATTCATACCATTATTCTGCACCACATTTTCATCCCTGCCAATGAGCAAATTAAACTTGATGTTCACAACTCATGAATGTAAATCATCATTAGTTAAGTCAAATGTACTGCTTTATGCAAATTTGACTGGAAAGAGAAGACAGCACTCAAAGGGAAGATGGCATTTAAAAAGGATGTCCCATGTTGTTGTCTAGAGGACATACCTCACTCGGTGTGTTTTTTTTCTAGATCCATCCATTTGCCTGCAAATTTCAAGATGTAGTTTTTTTTACTGATGTGTAGTAGTCCACTGTGTAAATGTACCACACTTTCTTTATCCATTCTTCAGTTGAGGGGCATCTGGGTTGTTTCCAGGTTCTGGCTATTACGAATAGTAACTGCTATGAACATAGTTGAGCACATGTCCTTGTGGTATGATTGAGCGTCTTTTAGGTATTGCTGAGTCTTGAGGTAGATTGCTTCCAAATTTTCTGAGAAATTGCCATACTGATTTCCAAAGTGCTGTACAAGCTTGCACTCCCACCAGCAATGGAGAGGTGTTCCACTTACCCCATATCGTCTCCAGAATATGCTGTCATTGGTGCTTTTGATCTTGGCATTCTGACAGGAGTAAGATGGAATTTCAGAGTTGTTTTGATTTGCATTTCTCTGATGACTAAGGATGTTGAGCATTTCCTTAAGTGTCTTTCAGCCATTTGAGATTTGTCTGTTGAGAGTTCTCTGTTTAGATCTGTACCCTATTTTTGTTGAATTATTTGTTCTTTTGATGTTAATTTTTTTGAGTTCTTTGTATATTTTGAAAATCAGTCCTCTGTCTGATGTGAAGTTGATGAAGATCTTTTCCCATTCTTTAGGCTGTGTTTTGTCTTGTTGATCTTCTCCTTTGCTTTACACAAGTTTCTCAGTTTTAGGAGGTTTCATTTATTAGTTTTTGTTCTCAGTGTCTATGCTACTAGCATTATATTTAGAAAGTGGTCTCCTCTGTCAATGCATTCAAGTGTATTTCCCACTTTCTCAAAAAAGAGGACCCTAAGAGAGACATATATGGATCTATATAGGAAGGATAAAAAGAAAAGATCTCCTGAGTAAATTGGGAGCATGGGGGGTCACAAGAGAGGGTAGAAGGGGAGAAGGGAGCAGAGAAAAATATATAGCTCAATACAAACAATAAAAATTATGTCCCACTGTCTTGCTGTGGAATAATCCCATGTACATTGTGAAGACTCATCACCGTGACTGGTTTAATGAACAAGGTACCTGATTGATAGCTAAAGAGAATAAGGTTAGGTAGGAAAGTCAAACTGAGAATGTGGGGAAGGAGAAAGGCAGATTCAGAGGAGTTGCCAGCCAGCCAGAGAATGAGTCAGATATATAATAATAGGATAGGAAAAACAAACAAATAAAAGATCCAAAGAAAAAGCACAAAAAAAAACACATATAGGCACAGAGACACACATTTAAAAACACAGAAACCAATAAGAATATTAAATTGGAAACCATAATATATAAGCAAAAACCTGTAAGAGTTAAAAAAAAAAAAAAACTCAGACAGAGCATAATGAGACAAAATCCCTCCAAAAATAGTATTGAGCTCATTTTGTATTGACTATCTAGTGCCGGCCATGGGGTGGGTTTTTAAGTATGATTTGTATACCCAGTGGGATTCTGTTGGAGAAAACTAATTTTTCTTTTCTGAGTTATTGTCAGTTGGAGATAGCTTCTGGGTTAGGGATATGGACTTGTGTCCACACCCTCTTTCAGTGCTGGGGTCCCGTTTAGCCTGGATCTGTTCAGGCTTTGCGTATGCTGCCAAGGTCTGTGGATTCTTGTACGCACCAACCCTGTTGTATCTAGTGGGCCTTGTTTTCTTGGTGCCTTCCATAATCACTGACGCCTACACTCTTCCTGCCTCCTTTTCCAGAGTTCCTTGATTCCTGAGGTCAGGGATTCAGATGGAGACATCACATTTAGGACGGAGTACTCCAAAATCTCTCGCTGTCTGCGTGTTGTCTGGCTGTGCAGCTCTGCATTTGTTTCCATCCATAGCGGGAGGAAGGTTCTCCGACAATGTCTTGCTCAGTCCCTAGTCTATGAGCATAGCAGAATATTTGAAAGTCATTTAATTGCTACATTCTTTTAGCAGGACAGTAGTATTTGGTTTTCCCCCAAGTTCGTGTTCTATCTAGTCTCAGGTTCTTGGTCGCCCGAGCAGTGTCAATGCATAGGTTCCATCTCCTAGACCAGGCCTGAAATCCAATCAGATAGTGCTTAGTTATACACACATTTTTGCCACTCTTGTTCCAGCTTATCATCCAAGTTTTGCCAATTATTATTCAACCAAAGATAAGTGTGAAGAACATACAATACAACTCAAAATCTAAACCTTAAGACAAGAAACAATCTAAATAAAAGTGAGCTAAGGGCTAAGGAATGTTACAGAAAATTCTCCAAACCTACCTAAAAACTTCCTTCTATTTGACTAGTTTTTATAACACTGGACCCAACAACATACTGCAGTACTGACCTTACAGATAGGATATGACAACTGGTGTGATAGTGGCATGACTGTGACAGGGTAACAAACAGCTTTTGATTGAATTAGAACCCCTGACAACATGATACACTTCTGACACATGGCTTGGAAGAATTGAGCGGGAACTGATCTGGAATCCTCCTCCCTGAGGAATAGCTGCTAGGGTACCATAAGGTGCTATGTAAACTTCCCAGGAAAAAAAGCCATCTACTATTCTGCCTAGCTGTCCTGTCTATGAATGCTATGGCCAGGATGACAAGATATCCCCAGAAGTGAAGAGTTACACTTACATACAAAGAGTAGCCAAGAGCTGTCTTACCGGACTTAATACCTGCTCAAAGGAGCGAATTCATGTCTGATACTATAAACCTAGACAACGACCTGTGGCTGGTAAAGCCACAAAACCTAGAGAGTAACCTACAACTGTCACTCTCCTAAACTAAATCAGTGGCATTTTTATCTGTTATCTGTATCATAAACATTTCATTGTATACACACAGAGAAGAGTAGCCCCTACCTCTCATCAGAGAAACTTCTTTTTGCAGAGAAGACTTTTACAGAAAGTCACAGCTTATCAAAATGCAGAATAAAATTGACATAAGGTGCCCTGCCTCAGCTGATATATCTCCAATAGAACTCCCACACCTAAGTCCTAGGGAATATCATGAAAGATGGGTCAGAAAGATGTAAAAGTCAAAGGACAAAAAAAGTCTCCTGTAAAACTGTATTATCTCTATAGGATAAGGAAGCTACAGCTGCAAGGTCTCAGTAGTTGCCTAAACAAGACCTGGACAATAACAACACCAAATAAAATGCCAAAGTCTACTGTAGAAGTCCCACAAAGACACACCCCTAGATGAAGAGCTATAGACAAGAAATGACTGCCGAGGCAAAGACAATCAGTCTTCCCTAAGATGAAGCCCCTGACAGGTTATTTTTATACCAAGTGGTCTGCTCTTAAAAACAGGTACATAGAAACAAAACTACGTGGGCTCAGATTGTTGCATTTATTTATTTCTATGCATGTATATATGTAATAATAATAATAAAAATAATTAAAGAAAATAATACTTAAAGAAAACAATAGATATAATACGTGAAAATAGAAGGAAGGTTTGGAGGTAGAAATAAGAAAATAGTGGAAGGGGTCAGGATATTATAATACGGGATTGAAGATATTCAAAGTGGTGTGTGTGTATGTGTCTGTGTGTGTATGTGTGTGTGTATGTATGTGTGTGTGTGTTGTGCTAAGAGATTTAAAAAGGAATCTGAAAGCAAAGGAATCCTAGTCTCTGAGTTAGGACTATTTTAGTGAAATATAACAGTTGAGAACAAGAAATGATTCAGGAGGAATAATTTCTCCCTGGGAAAGTCAGAGTCCTTATACTCACCCCCTGCAAGAGAGCCTGCACCTTCTAACTCCAAGAAAACATTAGGAATTAGAATAGGCCCCAGAATTCGCACCAGTCAACTCTGGCTTTGAGAATCTTGTGTATTTTTTTTTTACACATACAAGTTGATCAATTGCCTGTCTGCACAAATCTCAGAGAAATGTTCGGTTTTTATTATATATGTAGCACTGTCCACTTACTTTGATCTCAGAGTTGGATTAAACACAGTTCTTAGCAGTACTGATTAAATTTATCTGCATACACTCCATAAAGTCATGTCATTGGACGATCTGGGGTCTTTCTCCGTGCCTATGTGCTGCACATGGCAAGCAGCATGATTTATATCCTGGTTAGCAGACTGCCATGAGTAGGCACTCTGATACTACGCAAATTATTTAGATATATTCAGAATCTCACCTTGTCTTGCCAATGGACATTAAGCTTTCTCCAAGAGCTCCATATACATGTCAAGATATTCTTTTCCTTAGAGAGATGCCAAAGCCAGATTGGTCCTATTCCCCCAAGGTTAAAGAAACCAGGAAGATGTCCTTTGCCTTTCTCCACTTCCTACTCTCAGAAAATAATTCATCTGCATCCACACAGTGACAGCTCTAGACACAAACAAAGCTCTTCCAAGACAAGCCAATAAGCATTCCCATAATTGCGCATGATTGGATCAGTCTACTCAACATACTTATAGGTATTTAGGTTTAAACAATAGTCTGGCCCAAAGCAAGACAAAGGAAGACACGTTTTCTCAATATTATGTTTTCTAAATCTTATTTTATGGTGTTATAGTTTGTAAAATGTCAATGTTGTTCAGAAGGTTAAAAAAAATCGGTATCTGAAATTTTCAGGGAAAGGTACAAATCAGCTCCTCCAATGAGCTGTGTTTGATTTTCTTTCTTAACATGGAGAATTTGCCTAGGAAAGGTGCTTTGCTTCATTATATGTTTTCTTTTTTGTTTGTCATGGATACAACAACCAGCCCTTATACTAACACTGATGTCAACATATACCCGGTGATATAGCAAGGGGTATAAAGGAGGCCAGAGTGGATAATGCATGGAAAGTATTCTGATGCATATGTTAGTTTTTTTATCTTTTCTTGTTTGTCTTTATTTTGGCTCAATTCCTTATGTTTTCATTTAGAAGACTGTTTTGAGATGAGTAATGATTCCACCGTATAAAAGTTTCTCTTAAGTTGTATCACCCAATCTACTATTTAACAGATTGAATCTAAGACCTCACACATAGTAGGCAAGAGGACTACCCCTGAGCAACAGATAAAGGTCTCAAAGATATATATGGTTTTTTCAAGTCAGGGTTTCTCTATGTAACAGTCCTGACTGTCCTGGAACTCGTTTTGAAGACCAGGCTGCCTCAAACTCATAGAGATCCACCTGCTTCCAGTGGTGGGATTAAATTAAATTAAAGTGCTGGGATTAAAGACATGTGCCACCACCACCTGAATTGAAAATATATTTGAGGAAGGTTTTCACTGAATTGACCAGTTCACATATAATCCAGAGTGCTCTTAAATTTGCAACTCTTCTGCCTCAGACTACCAAGAATATGGATTACAGACCTGTTACCCCAGGTCTAGGCATAATTTAAAACTACAACAAAAGTTATTTACATTTTATTGAGAAAGAATAGATATAGGCACTAATTCTTCAACAGATCCATTAGGCAGAATCAACTGGAAACATAATCAAACGACTCATTAGTTCACCATAAACAATAAACAAATGGAAACAAAACAGAAATATCACTTACAAAACAGCACAAAACAGAAATTCTTAAGTATAAATCATCCAAAACAGGTGCAAAATACATTTTAAAAGTACACTAAAAGAAGCTTAAACCTCTAGATTAGATTTTGTATTAAGATGTCAATTTTTCAGAAAATTGCTTAACTATAATCAAAAGTAAAATGTATAACTTGTATAAAAATTAATTATCATATGGGAAAATTGGGGAGGTGTCTTTGAAAGTGACAGACCCACTCTACTCCCTAAGATGGCCTTTGAAATCAGGATTTAAAATGCCAGATGCTCACAATCAAACAGAACTTCCTCTGAGTCAGCAACCTTTGGGGTCTTGTCTAATGAGTTTACAGAATGAAATTCATGAACAATAAATGTTGAATTTTAGAGAGAAACTTATTGTAGGTTCATGTGTGGAAGCCTAAGGGAAAAAGAGAGCAGAGCAGGTCCCAGGAAAGAGGGCACCATCAAGATGCTAATCTGGGAGTCTTCTAAAGGATGGGGCAGAAACTGGTGGGAGGCTTTGGGAGGAAAGTGAGTGGTTCAGTACAGCTGGTCCAAACACAAGGTGTCCAGGTAGTTCCTCTTAGTTTCAGTCACTTCCTCATGTATACCTTAATAGGCAGGAGAATGAGATAACAAGGAACCAGAAACCAATGCTCTCTTCTGGTCTTCCTGGCCTTCATGGCCTCCAACAATGGCAGTGTTAAAAGGCTCCTTAAGGTCCCTGTTTACCTGACCAGTTTCTACTGTTTTCACCAATATTAAGCTTTAGAAAAAGTACAAAAATCTGGACTAGACAAAATTTAGAAAGGAAGGTCTAAAGTTGAAGAACTAACTCTATCTGAAGACAAGGCTTTACTGTAAAATTAGCAAAGGGATACACATTTCTAGAATTACAGAGTTTTTACAGTTTGAATGTTTGTGTTCTCTTCCCCATTTTTATAATGAGACCTGATTCTAAACATGATGAACTTTATAAATGGGCCCTTCAGAGGTGGCTAGGTCACGGAGAAGAGCTTTCACGAATAGGATCAGTACCTACCTCATAAAGATGATGTTCAGATGGCAAATCAACATATGAGGAGATTTATGACATCAGTAGGCAAGATGGAATACCTCACCTTCCCTTGAACAGCAAAAAACAACAAAACAAAACAAAAACCCCTAATCCATCCTGGGTGGTGCTAGGCAGGTTGTTACAGATGTTGAAAAGCAGGAGAATCACCAGTTCACAGGCTTTAGAATACATGTTTAGAGTCTACCCTGGGCAATTTAAGGAGAATTTGATTTAAAACAAAATGTGCAAAGAGGACTGGGGATGTCACTCACTATTAGAGCACTACCTACAATCTTCAAGGCCCTAAATTTAACTACTGATACCAGAACAAAATGAAAGAACCTAACAGCCAGTAGTAAGTGTTGAGGAATGTGTGGAACAACCAGAGCTTTTAGACACTGTAGGTCAGAACACAACATGATACAATGAATTACAAAATGGTTTGACAGTTTTCTTGTTAAGTTAAACATAAATTTCCCATATAATCAGCAGTCCCACACCTAGTAATTTACCCAAAGCAAATAAAAACATTCATGTATACAAAGATTTGTACAAAATATTGCCAAAGTAATTTATAACCTCTATGTGATCATTGTGTAAACAGATTGTGGTATACCTATACAACAGACTAGAGATGCTTCCTGACTTACATTAGTTACACTTAAGATGCCTCAGTTTCACCATAATCAAACAGCAATCCACGTTCAGTAGAAGTTGCTCTTCAGAGTTTGAATTTGGGTTTTGTCCTAGGTTGGAGACATAATGTAGATCCTCTCTTTACGTTGATGTTTTATGGTATGCTCCTGCGAATCGAAACCTTCTCTACAAACTGAAACATTTCCCCCCCAAGAGAGAGTTGGAGGTAAACAAATTTCACAAATGGTTCATTCTGTGTAGAACAGAAACTTGCAAGATTCTTTGTGGGAGGGGAGCTACCCAATGTCTTTAAAGAACTAGCTCTCACCTCAAAGGAGTAAAAGACAGTTTATTCTGGAGCAAAATATAAGTGCAGATGTCATCTGCTAGCCTTTCCATTTCCGGAGAGTAGAGTTTTGTTAAGTTAATGCATTCCCAGGGTTTTATTTATTTATTCAGGATGTTATTTCTAATACAATAAATAACGATATGAGATGTACAAGGGGTGACTCTTTAGGGTACTACAGATAACCCAAAAGAAACTATGATTAGGCTAGGATCCACAACATCCCAAACCCTCCGAACTCACTGCAGATTTTCTCAATCAGCCTATGTGACTGAGTTTCTTTTCAGGAATCCTCATTCAGTATCCTGTGATGGACAAGTATCACATGATGTACCTGTGAGGAGAAAAAATATTATAATGTCTCGTCACTAGGAGGACTTATTCTTAAGATCTGATTTAGGTGAGGTTGAGTAGTAAACAGGCCAGCAGTCTTCAGAAACAAGAAACAGTTGGTAAAAACCACTAAGAAACCTGTGAGCCATGTTAAAGCTATTAGCTGGGAGGTAGTGGTGCACACCTTTAATCTCAGCACTTGGGAGGCAGAGGCAGGCAAATCTCTGTTATTTCGAGGCTAATCTGGTCTACAAGAGCTAGTTCCAGGACAAAGCTACAGTGAAACCCTGTCTTGAAAAACAGAAAACAAAAACCTATTAGCTATCGTTGTCCAGATCAGCTTTTTCTTTTGTTTCACTCTGCCTCTGATATAACTTCTTATTTTTTTCAGACAGGATTTTTCTGTGTAGCATTGTATGTCCTGGAACTCACTCTGTAGACCAAGCTGGCCTCAAATTCACAGAGATCCTTCTGCCTTTGCCTCCCAAGTGCTGGGATTGAAAGCATGTGCCACCATCACCGGGCCTCTGACACAACATGCAACACTATATACACACACTATATGTAACATATAGTGGAATTGGGTATCTAAAATATAAATAAGAGACTTTGACCTGATAAAGTAAAAGTAGCAGGTGAGATCAGTAGGCATCTTAAACAAAGAGTCTGCGCACGTGTCCTTCCTTAACCAGACTGAGATGTTTCCCCTTTTGGGTCTATCGATATGTGTACTTTATGGAACATTTTATTTGATGTTTGGAGTACTTGAAATTGCTCATTATTCTTTAATTTTAGACCTTTTTGGCCAATTTGATTCCACAGCTATCATTTTGTGTTAAGTGGCTAGGCTCTAACTCTAAGAAAGATTGATCTTCAATATGAAAATGCTTGCAACTCTTTATCTGTGGACAGTAACTTGACCTGGCCCCTTATCTTGGAGCTGCACCAGATCGCAGTTTGAAAGGGTAAATCCACAGCTGCTTTGCAGAAAGAATTAGATAACAACACAATATCATTCTGAATTCTTTCTCAGGAGGATCAACATTTTTCTTATGTCAAATAGTAGTCATAAAAGGAGTTTAAACAAGGGGAAAGACTTATGAGAAGTCAGAATTCCATAGGTTTTATGGGCATAACAAAATCTTATTTCTTATTTCATGCTCAAGGAGGCATTTGGGACTCCAATGGGAGTCATTTTACAATACTGAAATCTGCTTCTCATTGGTAGAACACTAGTATTACTGAGTGTTTTTCCCATCCTTATTAACTGTACCTTAGAATACTTTGGAGATTCATTTAATCAGGAAACATGGGTCCTTAAAGTGCAGTATCTTAAGTTACAAATTCTATTGTTTTTCATAACTGAGATTTCTTATAAGATTTCCAAAGACCATTAGTTCTGGCCTCTGTCACCTGAACACTGTCCATTGCACTGTAGCTACCTCAGAGGCCATCTGTATTATCATTGTCTACAATTTCTCTGCCCCCTCTCTAGGTTTAGGAATCACCCTGAGGGTTAGGTCAATGTTTTTACTCCTTTTCTGTAACATGCCACTTTCAATTTTAAAAGTTTTCCATCCTTTCCCTCTTCTTGAAATAGCAATCCCTCAATGTGCCCTGTGTTTGAAAGCAAGTCCTTTCCTAAATAATATCCTTCTTCATCAGCCCTGAACTTAGCTTGTTCTCAGGTTTCTAGTCCAGGACTTGTATTTCCAATAAGGTCTCCTATAGATTTATTATTTGAACAATTTCAATTAATTCACAATGAATGGTGCTCCCATTGCAGACTGAGAGTGTTTATACAATTATGATAAAAAAGAATCAACATAAAATCTCTGGGTACCCCATACAAGAGTCAATAAGGTAGTGGTTACCGTTAGGCAGGCGGAAGTCTGACTGTCTTAAAGGGAACCTTCCCAGAGTCTTCGATGATAAAAGCATTTACACCATCTGGAATGAAGCTTCACCTCTGATGTGGAGTTCATGTGGTTGGCAGGTGTGGTTAGGTTGCAGACTATAGGTATCCAGACACATTTACTAGGCAAATGATCGACTGCATGGGTTGTTCTGGAGCAGTACAAACAGATAGACCATCACATCTAGGAATGTGCTTTATCTTATCATTTTCATTATTGATATTAACACCATTACTTAATTGGTTGAATCCATTTAGCATGCTTTTTCTTTTTAGTGGAAAAAATTTATATCACTTTTGTTATAAGGCTTGTGGCTTTAAAATAGGGATAAGAGCACCATATAAAGAAACAGCTCTACATTCTCAATTCCAGTTCTCAGGGCTGAGTATGGCGTTCTATAACCATGCTTTTATGAAGGCTCTGCCTAACTGTTGTCTTTAGATTAAAAGACTGATTAATTTATTGATTCAGAGTTCAATACAGCCACAATGCCAGGAATTCAAAATAGCCGGATGGACTCTGTCTCATGGTTATCAGTATCTTCTCTTACGCTTGTCTAAAAAGAAAATGAGCAAATGGGAAGAAAGGAACAACAGCTGTTTGGAAAGTACAAACTCATTGGCAAACTTAGTATCACCACTAAGACTTGTGCTAAAGAATTAGGAGAAGCATGGTGCTCAGCACTGGAATAAAGGGAGGGATGGAGCCAGCAGAAGAGTTTCTTGCAGGTAGGCTGCTCCATTACTCACATCCAGACCATCCGATGCTGCAAGCTACTAGTCCCACCCCACTCCCAAGCCCTCCTATTCCCCTGCAACCTCAGTGGAACTCTAAAGCATAGCCTGCTACTACACAGAGAGGACCAAGAGGTGAGTGACCAACCACCCAGTAGGACACCCCACTCTCTAGGACCTCCATACTGGGTCAAAACCCTGGTCACCTCCCCTACCTGCCTTGGCTTCTCTAGACAGCCATCAGGAGAGTTTCTTGCAGGTAGGCTGTTCTATTACCCCCATCCTGACATTTGGACCCTGCAAGTTACAAGTCCCAACCTGCCCCCAAACTTGTCTATACCCTACAACCTCAATGGAACTCTGAAACACAGCCTGCTACTACACAGAAAGGACCAAGCGGTAGGCTGCACTAAAACCCCTGGACACAGACAGTGACAGTACAGAGCAGACCAAGAACAGTTCCCAAGAAACAGACAGTCACTGCAAAGATTGGACCCAGAAACAAAGACACTATCAGCATCAAATGAAGGAAGAGATGGGTAGGCGCCAATGCAAGATTTCATCCAACAACCTAAAAAGCAATGATAACACCAGAACCCAGTGGTCAAACAATGGGAAGACTTGATCATCCTAATCCAGAAGAAGCAGCAGAAAACAATTTTAAACATAACTTTATGAAGATGATGAAGATCTTTAAAGAGGAAATGGAAAACTTTCTTAAAGAAATGGAGGAAAAGAAAAAATGAAGAAATTAATAAATCTCTCAAAGAAAACCAAGAAAATACAATCAAACAGGTGAAACAAACAGTTCAAGACTTGAAGTCTGAAATAGATGTAATAAAGAAAACATAAACCAAGGGAATACTAGATATGGAAAATATGGGTAAACAAACAGAAACTACAAAGCAGGCATAGCCAAAAGAATAAAGAGATGGAAGAGAGAATTTCAGGGGGTGAAGATATCTTAGAGGAAATAGATTTAAAGGTCAAAGAAAACATTTTATCTGACGAATTCTTAACACAAAACATCCAGGAAATCTGGGATACCATGAAAATACCAGACCTAAGAATAATAGGGATAGAAGAAGGAGAAGAATTACAGTTCAAAGATACAGAAAATATATTCAACAAAATTATAGAAGAAAACTTTCTGACCCTAAAAAACAATATCACTATGAAAGTACAAAAAGCTTACAGAGATCAAATAGATTGGATCAAAAAAACTACCTCCCTCACCATAAAATAATCAAAATATAAAACATTCAGAATTTTAAAAAAAGAATATTAAGAGCTGCAAAAGATAAAGGTCAAGTAACATCTGAAGGTAGGCCTATCAGAATTACACCCAACTTCTTAATGGAAACCATGAAAGCCAGAAAGTTCTGAGCAGATTGCTGTAGACACTAAGAGACCACAGATGCAAGCTCAGACTACTATACCCAGCAAAGCTTTCAATCACCATCAATGGAGAAAACAAGATATTCTATGACAAAAACAGATTTAAACAATACCTATCCACAAATTCAGCCATACAGAAAGTACTAGAAGGAAAACCCCAACCCAAGGAAGCTAACTGCACCCATAAAAACACAGGCAATAGATAGCCTCACACCAACAAAACCCAAAGAAGGAAACACACACATTACCACCGAAAAAATAACAGGAACTAACAATTACTGGTCATTACTACCTCTTAATATCAGTGGGCTCAATTCACCTATAAAAAGACACAAACTAAGAGAATGAATATGAAAGCAGGCTCCAGCCTTCTGCTGTATACAAAAAAAAACACACCTCAATCTCAAAGACAGACATTGCCTCAGTGTAAAGGGTTGGGACAAGATTTTCCAATGGGTGCAGCTATCCTAATATCTAACAAAATAGAATTCAAACTAAAATCAATCAAAAGAGATGGAGAAGAACACTTTATACTCAAAACAGGAACAATCCATCAAGATGAAGTGTCAATCCTGAACATCTATGCCCCAAATATAAGATCACCCACATATGTTAAAGAAACATTATTAAAACTTTAATCGCACATCAAACCCCACACATTAATAGTAGAAGATTTCAACACCCCACTCTCACCAATGGGCAGGTCAACCGGACAAAAACCTAACAGAGAAACAATAGAACTAACAGATATCATGACTCAAGTGGGCTTAACAGACATTCTGACTTGCTCAACTATCCTTCTCCATGGTGCTTAGAAGGCTCCTTATTTCTCTTTCTCACACTCAGGAAGCAGCACAGTAGCTCCAAGTGTATTCTCTCAAGAAGTTAATTAAATCTTCCTGTGCAAAATAAAATTGCTAAGATAGCTGCAGCTACTTCCTTCAACACCGTAAGAAGCACAAAGACATACTATCTGGGTGGGAAATTTGACTCAACTCAACATACTTGCTCCAGATGGCCACATGCTACCTGAATAGAGAGCAAACTACAACAGGAAACCTGGTTTTAATTACAAGAAAAGAGTTTGTATGTAGCAAAAAGAATCTGGCCAGAAAGGAATCAGTCAGCAATTTTCCAGTCTCGGGAACAGAATGATCCTATAGCTGACACGAAGCATAAAGTATATGGAGAATGAAACCCTGGCAGTGACGTGTTAGAGCTCTTCTACAGTGCTGAAACTTGAGGGCATTTATTATTTCCCAATGTCAGCACTTCTTTTGCAACGCCTATTCTTTTAACGCAACATTTGTTCATTGTTTACATCTGGAACACAGGTGCACCTTGTTCTCTTGACTCTGCTTTTAGTCTCTTCCCGTTCCTATCCTCTTCCTTCAACTCCCCAGTGTCCAACAACAAGGTAAGTATTTTTCCAGTGCCTGACACTGCACCTGGAATGTACTCCTCATTAGATGCTCAAAGAAAACTGGAAGGAATAGATACCCATTCTTGTCTGACTCAACACAAAAGCTGTTCAGCTTCCTTTTAGCTCAGTTCTTTACCTTGCGGAGAAGAGGCATGATAAAAACGCTTAGACTTTTATCAGTAAATTCTAGCTTCACATGCTACAAGGCATTTGTCTTGTTTCTACCTAACAGACTCCAGACCAACATACCAAAGAGAGGCTGCACAGTTGTGCTAGTTGCAGCATTATGAGCCTAGTTACTGAGTCAACTAGGTGTCTGTCAACAGATAGATGAATACAGACAGTGGGTATGTTCTGTTTGAAAATAAATATGACAGAAATAATCATATTCAGAAAATCAAACTATAAAGGCAAAAATCATGTATTTCTCTTAATTATGGGTTTGAAAATCCTTTACAAAAAATACAAATTCATGATATCGAAGCAGAAGGGAGACAGGGGGAAGGAGACTACCCAGGCTAGAAGGAATTATGGTGCTAGAGAGAGAAAACAGGAACTTGACAAATATAAACAAGGAATACGATATTCTTTTTTCTTTCTTTTTTTTTTTTTTTTCGAGACAGGGTTTCTCTGTGGCTTTGGAGCCTGTCCTGGAACTAGCTCTTGTAGACCAGGCTGATCTCGAACTCACAGAAAACCGCCTGCCTCTGCCTCCCGAGTGCTGGGAATAAAGGCGTGCGCCACCACCGCCCGGCGGTATATGATATTCTTGAAAGAAATTGTCTGTATGCAGCTTAACACTATGTATAAAGAATATATTCCAATAGAAAAGGAGAAAACTTTCATTATTACAGTAATTACATCATTATTCAAGCAACACAATGTTTATAGAAACAAATGCATCAGGATAATTTCCATTTCTCCCTAATGGAAGTCTTGACTCATCACAGCACACAACCTTAAAATTCTCATATTACTGAAAGACATGTGCTTTGAAAAGACAGAAATGTATGCTCATAGTTCACTGGACACTTGGCTTCAATTTTTAAATTTTTATTTTTGTTTGTTATTGTTATTGGAGGGAAGGTATGTGTGCCATGACCTGCAGATGGAGCTCAGAGAATTTTGAGGAGTTGATTCTTTTCTGCCACCACAAGCTTTGTTATCAAACTTTTACCATCTGAGCCATTTTGTTGGCTTCATTTTATTTGTTTGTTTGTTTATCATGATGTTCCATCCTGAATCCTATTCTTCCAGCAACCATGCTTATCCTAAACAGTGGTGATCACTCTGTCCCATTCCCACCCCAAATTACCATGGAGTAAAAGACTCTCAGAATTAGGTTGTTCCTTTCTCACCACCTCATAAACATGACGAGAGGGCATTTTGCCAAGGGTAGCATCAAAGTTTCTGAGCCATTTGATTCCATGCCCACAGCTATATCCACACAGTCCTGACAGGCTAGCATGTTGTCCTAGAATCTTAGTTTAAGAGAATTGACCAAAGAAAAAAGGGAAGGTCATTTTGTAACATACCTAGGATGCAGTGTAATATGCTTATCTATAGGCTCCAAACGTGTGCCATTATGTCTGTGTC